ATGTCTCTGCAGGTGCAGGTGAGGCGGCCCGAGGTGCTGCTGGATGGCCTGGAACCAGGCAGGGACTATGAGATCTCGGTGCAGAGCCTACGAGGCCCTGAGAGCAGCAGGAGCCCGGGGCATCGTGCCAGGACCGTGGTGTCGACCCCGAAGCTGCCTGCCTCGCGGGGCGAGTGCCCCTTCTTGTTTCTCAGCCTTCCATGGCGTGGGGGACCTCAGGCCCCCTTGGTCCCAGCCTGCTACCGCCCCTGCCGTGGAGGCCACGTGCTGGCCTTGAGGCTCTGCTGTGCTCTGCAGCCATCCTGGCCCGAGACACCTGGGCTTCTCAGATGTGAGCCACGGCACGGCTGCAGTGATCTGGGAGGGCGCCGCAAGGCCTGTGGCTGGTCAGGGTCACCTATGTCTCAGCGAGGTGGACACTCGGGGCAGGTGAGCAGAGCCTGCCGAGGGGCCCGAGTGTCGAGACCACAGGGCCCCTAAGGCAGGCCTGAGGTAGAGCCAACCATCAAATAACACATATGAAACCCGCGACGCCACAAGGCGCTGCCGGGGCACCTGGTGTGAGGGCACCTGGTGTGGGGGCACCTGGTGTGGGGTAGATCTGCGGGTGTAGGGGCTGTGGGGGACCAGGCTGGGGAGGCCCCACCCCAGCCGTCCTGCAGTTCTGTTGCCCTCCCATCCCTCAGGACAAGCCCATTTTCCCAATTTTGGGGGTCATGGGAGTAGTCCTGGCGCAGGTGCTGGACCTGGGTCTCCGCCTCCTTAGGAGCTCCAGGCACCGGCTGGGCCTGCCATGTCGGCCTCCCACCTATTGCAGACAGAGGCTCCTGGGAACGCCACCTCAGCCACGCTGGGGCCCCTCTCTTCCTCCACCACCTACACTGTCCGCGTCACCTGCCTCTACCCTGGGGGTGGCTCCTCTACGCTGACTGGCCAGGTCTACCACCAGTGAGTGGGGAGAGGTTGGGACTGGGAGCCCGGCGAGGTTCTGCGTCCTGCCCCACTGGAGCAGTTCACATCAAGTGTTGGCCTCCAGGTGCCTGCCCTGGGCTGGTGCTGAGCCGGGTAGGGGATGGGCACCCGGCGGGTGTGATGAATGGGGGTATAGGGTGCTCCTGGGTGGCTGCCCTCCTCTGAGGCGCCCAGACTCAGGAGGGCTGCACACCCCCAGCCTGTCATCTCCACTTCCTTCAGAAAGTTCCCAGCCCAAGCCAGCTGTCAGTGGCCAGGCAGCCGGGGGACACAGTCAGCTGGCATGGGTGGCACAGCCCCAATCTGGCGTGCTTGTCCTGCAGATCAAGTGAGACGCCCCTGGGGAGAGGAAGGCTCACGAGGTGGGCAGGGATGGACTTGTCCTTCAGAGGGGCCCTCCTGGGCCTCCCAGTCCTGAGGCCCAAGTCCAGGGCTCAGGACCCTGTGTGCACCCACCCTGTCTCCCAGGGATGCCTCACTGCCCATGGCCTGTGCACCAGACCCCCCAGTCTGAGGACTCCACTGTACCTGGTGACCCCTGTGGCTCTCCTCTCCCTAGATCTCTGTCCCAGGGAACCTCGACACGGCCGTCCTGCCTGGCCTAGGGAGGCACACGGAGTATGGCGTCACCATCCTGGCCTACTACAGGGATGAAACCGCAGTAGCCCTGTGTCCTCCCGCTATACCCCTGTAGGTGTCTGTGCTCCTCCGCTATACCACCTGTAGGTGTCTGTGTCCCTCGCTATACCCCCTGTGGGATGTCTGTGCCCCTCCGCTATACCCCTGTAGGTATCTGTGCTCCTCCCGCTATACCCCATGAGTGTCTGTGCCCCTCCGCTATACCCCTTGTGAAATTGCCCCTCCGCCATACCCCTGTGAGTGTCTGTATCCCTCTGCTATACCCCCTGTAGGTGTCCCTCCGCTATACCCCCTGTAGGTGTCTGTGTCCCTCTGCTATACCCCCTGTGGTGTCTGTGTCCCTCAGCCTATACCCCCTGTAGGTGTCCCTCTGCTATACCCCTGTAGGTGTCTGTGTCCCTCCGCTATACCCCTGTAGGTGTCTGTGTCCTCCGCTATACCCCCTGTGGAGTGTCTGTGTCCCTCCATATACCCCCTGTAGGTGTCCCTCTCACTGCTATACCCCTGTAAGGTGTCTGTGCCCCTCCCGCTATACCCCTGTAGGTGTCTGTGCCCCTCCGCTATACTCCTGTAGGTGTCTGTGCCCCTCCGCTATGCCTGTGGGTGTCTGTGTTCCTCCGCTATACCCCTGCTGAGTGTCTGTGTCCCTCCGCTATACCCCCTGTGGGTGTCCCTCACTTCCCGTCTGCTGGGTGTTGGGCAGGGATGGCCCAAGGGACCCTGACTCACCCGCTCCACAGGCCCAGGACCCTAGACTCCCAGAACCACTGGCAGGCGGCTCCTGGAGCTGACCTGGCCTGGTCACTGGAGTCTGCTCGGGGATAGGTGTTCCCCCAGTGGCCGGAGTGCACAAACCCGTCATGTAGTGTCTTGCAGGGTGGTTGCATAAAACCATGAGTGTCTCACAGGAGCAGCCCAGGCAGCAGCCCAGGTTGGGGGTATGGTGAAACCTGGCAGAGTGGCATGATGTGAGGTGTGGCAGGGGCCCGGCGTGGGCTGCGGCAGGGGCAGCAGTGTCAGCTAATGGCGGGGTGCAGTGTGGGCTGTGGCAGGGGCATGTTGTGGTGTGGCAGTGCGGTGTGGGCCGTGGCAGGTGGCGCAGTGTGGGCCATGGCAGGTGGCATTATGTGGGCCGTGGCAGGGGCACAAGTGTGGATGTGCTGGGGTGTGGTATGGGCTGTGGCAGGGGCATGGTGTGGGCTGTGGCAGGGGGTCTTGGGTGTGGCATGGCTGGTGGCGCAGTGCGGGCTGTGGCAGGGGCGCAGTGTGGGTGTGCCAGGGGTGTGGTGTGGGCTGTGGCAGGGGTGTGGCTTGGTGTGGTGGGGGCATTACACAGAGCAGGGTAGGGGCTGGGCGGCTGGTCCTCTGGCCACCGGGTGCCTCCTTTCTGGAGGGCCTGAGCTGGAAACAGCCCGTGCTCTCTGCCAGCCACAGTGAACAGGAGCCCCCCCTCCAACCTGGCCCTGGCCTCGAGAACCCCAACAGCCTGCAGGTCAGCTGGACACCCACGTGGCGCGTGCTCCACTACCGGCTCACCTACGCGCCCGCCTCTGGCTCAGGACCTGAGAAATCCGTGAGTCTTGGTAGAGCCTGAGACTGCCCCCTCATGGGGCCTCCTGGAAGAAGTATGGTCATGCTGTCTGCAGAGGGCGGCAGCTCTGCCATGGCGGGACACGGGGAGGCAGCTGAGCCGTGTGGACAAACAAAGTTGCCCAGGAATTGGGGACCAGGTACCCTCCCTTCCCTGGAGTCTCGTGCCCAGGACCCAGGAGCCACGTGGCCTCCCGACCTGCAGGCAGCCACCAAGTACAGGGTCCTGGTCTCAGCTGTCTACGCAGCAGGCAGGAGTGAGGCTGTGTCTGCCACGGGCCAGACAGGTGAGTGGGCACCAAGACCCCAGACCCAGAGTAGACCCAGACTCTGGCAGGCCTAGCTCCAGCCCCAGCCAGGCCCTAGACCCCAGACCCTGCCAGCTCCAGACTCATCCGACCCCAGACCCAGTTGACCCCAGGGTCACAGGCGAGCAAGAGTCCCGGGGCTTGGAGATGCCTGGTCCCAGGCTGGCCCCGCCTGGATTCTCCAGGGACGAGGACATGGTCACAGTTGCCTGGGGTCTTCCACAGGAGTGGGAGCCACTGTTGCTGGTTTTTGTCTCTTGCTGGTTTCTTGGAGAGAACCACAGGTGCAGGGGCGGGGAGCTGTCACAGGCATCCAGCTCGGCCTACCAGCTTCCTCTGGGAAACCTCCCGTTGTGGGAGTCTTCAGTCTTGGCTTGCATGCCCATGGTCGCGGTCCTCACTGCCTGGACAGCTACCCTGGCGGCTGACCTTCCCATGGGAGGGAGAGCGGCTTCTCCTGTCAGGGGGTACTCCTTCCTGCCTTCTCGGCCCATGAAGGGTTCTGAGCACCTGCCATAGGGCAAGCCCATGTCCCGAGGCCCCCAGGACACGCGTGCCCCCAGCCTGCCCGAACACAGAATCCTCCCTGCCCCCAGGACACACGTGCCCCCAGCCTGCCCTCCCGCCAGGCATCTCCTAGCCCTGCCAGCTCAGAGACACACCTGGATGACCAGTACCCTCGAAGGGTATCACACCCAGTGGGCAGGCACACTCTCCTCCCTCCTCTTCTCCCCCCAGGTGTGCAGGTGCGGGTTCCTCCCTCCTCTTCTCCCCCCAGGTGGGCAGGTGTGAGTTCCTCCCTTCCTCTTCTCCCTCCAGGTGTGCAGGTGCGGGTTCCTCCCTCCTTTGCTCCCTCGTCTTAGCATTTGAGACCCAGAGAATCACCCAGTGCCCAAAGTGCCTCTTTAGGTCTGACTGCCACCTCCTGAGTGCTATTTCAAGGCCATTTCTTCTTGCTCTTTCCTCTGAGAATATGACAGTGTCCCCTTTGGAATCATTTGTTTGCTTTTCACACTTGAAATCCAGCCCTAACTTTAGAATCATGGGGTCACACAGCAGAAAATACTGCGGCTGGTCAGTCTGCGCGGCCCATAGGGTGGGAGCCTGTGGGAGTGGGCAGGGCCCTGGCCCCAGATTCTTCCTTCTTGGACCCGGCCCGTCGGGTCGTCATCCCCTCCCTGGGCAGCCCCATCTTCATACTGGACAGTGTCTCTGAGGGTTGATGGGTTCTCACCTCACCATGTGACGGATTCCTCTAGGGGGTTTAGTAAGTGACATCTTTTTTTTACTGCCCCAAGACCCATTCCCTCTCACACTGTTACCCAGGAGCCCATGTCCCTCGCATCAGACCCTCTCCCTTTCTCTCTCCCTGGCCTCAAGGGGAGGAGCTGGGGTAGGGAGGAGGAGCCAAGAGGGTTTCACTTCCCACCATGACAGATGTACACACGTGTGCCCACCTTGGCCTCTAAAGCTCTCCCCACCTCCACCCAGGGGACTCGGAACAGGAGGTGATACTGACCACCAAGACCCCTAAGGCCACAGTGGGGGGCCTGAGCCCCTCCAAGGGCTACACCTTGCAGATCTTCGAGCTCACTGGCTCTGGGCGCTTCCTGCTGGCTCGGAGGGAGTTTGTGAGTAAGTCCACGGGGTACTGCCAGCTGGGTACCCCCTCCTCCAGGCCGGGTCCCACCGTCCTCTGGGCCAGGGTCCCGCTGTCCTCCAGCTGAGTCCCACCGTCTACCAGGCCAGGGTCCCACCCTCCTCCAGGCTGGGTCCCACCGTCCTCTGGGCCAGGGTTCCGCTGTCCTCCAGCTGAGTCCCACCCTCCTCCAGGCCGGGGTCCCACCCTCCTCCAGGCTGCGTTCCAGCCGCAGGGGTGGGTGTGTGTGAAGCAGCTCTGGGCTGGGCTAGGGCCAGGTTCGAGTCCTGACTCACCAGCGAGGCTGCCTTGCCCCTGACGTCTTCGCATGCCAGCCAGGGTCCTGGACCCTCAGCACCTGCAGATGCGCCCTTGAGGGAGGGTGTGTGCAGCTGCCCCAGCGGGCCAGGCCCTCCCATCTGATTGAGGGAGGGTGTGTGCAGCTGCCCCAGCGGGCCAGGCCCTCCGCTCCCACCTGATTGAGGGAGGGTGTGTGCAGCTGCCCCAGCGGGTCAGGCCCTCCGCTCCCACCCGATGGCCCTCGGTGTCTCCCTGCAGTTGCGGATCTGAAGAGTACCTCCTTGGACAGGAACAACCAGAGACCTCTCAGCAATGGAGCCCCGGAGCCCACCCCCTCCCTCGTGGGGAGCCCAGACCCTGAGCAGGCTTCCGAGTCCCGAGTTGCCTTTGCGCCAAGCTGGGATCCGCCCATTCCTGGTGGGTCGGAGTGGAGGGAGAGTAAGTCTCTGGGGAGGGAGTGACCTTTGGTTTCCCACCGTGAGGCCAGGAAGTTCTTCCTCGTGTCTGACCACACACTCTCTAGCTTTAACTTAAGGCTGTCACGTTCCCAGGTTCGCTCAAGCCAGGCCACTGGGAGCAGGTGGTCCCACTACCTCTGACCCCTTTGGGAACCTCCAGCCTGGGTCTAGGAGGTGGTGAGAAGGTTGGGTCATGCTTCACCAAGAGTGGGATCAGGAGCAGAGCTGGTCCGGGGGCCCTGGAGGGAGGGCCCTGCCCAGCCAGCTGCAGGTGTGGAGAGGCAGAATCACACCAGGACAGAAGAGAAGCCGGGTAAGGGGTAGGCACAGACAGGGGAGGTGCACTGTGTCTGCCCACAAGGCCTCTGCAGGTGGGGCCGGGCTTCCCCATAGAACTGGCAGGGCCTGGCTTTGTCTCCTCCATCAGATTGGGGTCCTCAGAGGCAGGATTCTACCTCCCCTGTCAGACTTGGAACTGGTGGAAGTGTCCACCTCCTCAGACTTGGACACATCCCTCCAGAGGTCCTCGGGTCCGGTGCTGTCCTCCCCTCAGAGCAGCTGGGCCTCTTCGGTCGCCCACGGGGGGCTCCACCGTGATGGCTGCTGGCCTCGTTCGGGCATCTCCCCAGGGATCTGGCGCTGGCTCTGCGGCCCGCCCCACCAGGCACTGTCCCTGCAAGACTCTGGGGAGCGCTAGGCTGGGGGTAGGGGTTTTGTCTCCACAGCACCGCCAGGGCAGTACTCACGGTGGCTCTGCTGGAGCCGTCTGCGGTGCCCACCCTCCCCTCCTCATCCGGTTTTCACCCAGTGGGCTTCTGGGCCTGGTGTCTGGGTGGGCAGCGAAGGCTGGCTCCCGTGCAGATAGCCACGTGCAGCCGTGGGGGACAGAGGTGCCTGAGCACCAGGCTGCCTCATATTAGTGGTGGCTGGACTGTGCAGCCATGCCGGCGTGGGGCTGTCTAGTCTGGTGAGGCTGAGGGTCTTGGAGTCCTTTCCCTGATACCTGGCCCAGCCTGCCTCACTCTTGTGGCTGGAGCCCCAGGGAAGGTGATCTGGGGGCTGGGGCCAGGCCGGGAGCAGTTTGGGGGTCTTGGACCAGGGATGGGCTTCACCTAACACCTCACCCGCTCCCACCACCCCAGCCAGCCCCCAGTTCCGCTGCCTACCCCCTGTGCCTGCTGACATGGTCTTCCTGGTGGACGGGTCCTGGAGCGTTGGCCACAGTCACTTTCAGCAGGTCAAGGACTTCCTGGCCAGCGTCATTGCACCCTTTGAAATCGGGCCGGATAAGGTCCAAGTAGGTGGGTGCTGGCCCGGCCTGCCTCTTGCCCCACCTGGGCGTGGTCCCCACAGCTCTGACTGCCGGCGGAGGCTGTGACCTGTGGGGGTCCCTGCACCAGCCAGGGCTCCCACCTTGTGGGGTGGGTCACCTTCTCCACTGGGGTGTTCTGGGGACGCTCTGTGTGGAGGCCCTGGCTCTGCAAGCGTACTCTCTCTGGGGACTGGCCGCTGTGGCCGGGGACACCGCAGAGGCACGTGCAGCTCTCAGGTGTGCCCTGCGCCAGCTCCCGGGCCCCTCAGCACTGGAAACTCAGCCCGTGGCCACGCCCCTGCTCCCCAGGCCTGACTCAGTACAGCGGCGATGCCCAGACTGAGTGGAACCTGAACTCCTTCGGCACCAAGGAGCAGGTGCTGGCAGCTGTGCACCGCCTCCGCTACAAGGGGGGGAACACATTCACAGGTACGGCCCAGGCCGCCCCTCCCTCCATCCTGAGGGCGGACCTCCTTCTGCCGCCCTCCCAGACCCTGGGAGCCTGTGTGTAAACTGGGCTCTCAGTGGTGTGGCCCTGAGCCCTGTTCACACCTTTATAAAGGGCAGAGTCACCGTCTTGTTTACCTTGGATGAAAACGAGGGCCCGTGTCCAGCACGTGGCTCCTCTGTTCCGTAGCAGCTCTGGCTGGGGCCACACCCAGCCCAGTTGGGGTGCTCACCTTGCAGGTAGGGCCTGGCTGGGGAACTTGGGGTGCCACTTGGGGCCCCTCCACAGGCAGACCCTCCCTGCTCCCTCAGGCTGCCACCTGGCCTCCTGGCACCCTGCAAGGGAAGGAGAGGAGCATCTCTGCTGTCTGGTTGCTGCCAGCCGAGCACCAGGAGGGGATGCTGGCAGCTGCCTGTCACTTTATTCTTGCTGCTCCTAAGGCCTCGCCCTGACCCACGTGCTGGGGCAGAACCTGCAGCCGGCGGCTGGCCTCCGTCCAGAGGCGGCCAAGGTGGTGATTCTGGTGACGGACGGCAAGTCCCAGGACGATGTGCACGCTGCTGCTCGTGTCCTCAGGGACCTGGGTGTGAACATCTTCGCTGTGGGTGAGCACCATGCAGACCTCCGGTCCTGGGCTGGAGCCTCGCCGTCAGTGGGCTTTGGGTTGCAGCTGGGAGCTTACATCGGGCACCTGGTCCCTGAGCCCCAGCTTCCACATCCACGACATGGAGCTGCACGCACAGCTGGGCACTACCGGCACTCAGAGGCGACTGCTCCTTTTCAGTCGCCTGCTGTTTGGTGCCTTCCGTAGAATCCCCCCCAACCCCACCCCTGTGGCGTGAACCTCCCTGGTGCAATATTCACTGAGCAGCTCCAGCTGCCCCCTCTGGCCACCATCCCTGTGCCTGGCGACTCCCGCCTGCTGTCCCCTGGCGAGGAGCTTCCTGGCACCCTCCAGGGCCTGGGATTCACAGGTGAATCAACTCTGTCCTGTGGGGAGGAAACCCCAGATTTTGAGGCAGGAGTCCTGGGAGCAGAGACCCTTCCTTGATGCCCCCAACCCCTCAGAAGCTCCTGGCCTAGCACGTGGGTGGCAGGTGGGCCAAGTACAGCCCATAGGCCTCTTCGCTCCTGACCCACTCTCCACGGAGACCTCCACTGCAGGCGGCCCCCTCGGGTGACCCCAGTGCAGGCCGACCTCACCTCCCTCCTCTCGAGCAGGTGTGAAGAACGCCGATGAGGCTGAGCTGAGGCTCCTGGCATCCCCGCCACGGGACATCACCGTCCACAACGTGCTGGACTTCCCGCAGCTTGGCGCGCTGGCTGGCCTGCTCAGCCGCCTCGTCTGCCAGAGGCTGCAGGATGGGGGCCCGCGGCGGGGCCTAGGTGCGGGGCAGGGTCACTCACACAGGCTGCAGCCCCACCTGGCTGCTTTGGGCAGAGGGTGGGGGGACGCTGTGGCTCCCAGGTGGTACCTGAGGCCGGTTCCTGTGGCTCTGAGGGGATCTGCAGCCCCCGCTTACATCTGTCCACAGAGGGGCTGGGGAGCGGCTCTCCTGTCCCTCCTGCGAGTGGCCACCAGGGGGAGCGTGGACACACGGGCTCCTGTCCCTCCTGCGAGTGGCCACCAGGGGGGCGTGGACACTGGAGCTCCTGTCCCCTCCTGCAGTGGCCGCCGGGGGCGCTGATGTGGACACACAGGCTCCTGTCCCTCTAGTGGCCGCCAGGCGTGGACACACGGGCTCCTGTCCTCCTGCGAGTGGCACCGCCAGGGAGAGGCGTGGACACACGGGCTCCTGTCCCTCCTGCGAGTGGCCGCCAGGCGTGGACACACGGGCTCGGCGCCCCAAACCACCTGTCCCCCCACCCCCCACCCCTCCTGCAGCAGCGCTCCAGCCCCTGGACACCCTCCGCCCCACCGGCCTGGTCCTGGGCCAGGTGACCTCCTCCACCTCCTGCGAGTGGCCGCCAGGGGGAGCGTGGACACACGGGCTCGAGCGCTGACCACCTGTCCCCCACCCCCCACCCCTCCTGCAGCAGCGGCTCCAGCCCTGGACACCCTCCCCGCCCCCACCGGCCTGGTCCTGAGCCAGGTGACCTCCTCCAGCATCCACGTGTCCTGGACTCCAGCCCCCCGGCTCCCCCTCAAGTATCTGATTGTTTGGCGAGCCTCCAGAGGTGGCACCCCCAGGGAGGTGAGGGGCCGACATACAGGGCTCCCCGAGCCGGTCTGCAGCCGTTGTGGGTCTGATGAGCCAAAGGGAGGGCGGGAATAAAGGCCCACAAATGACTGGGTCCAGGCTGAGAAGGGGGCGGTGAGGGGCTGGCAGCCCAGGGACTCGCCATGGAGCTGCGTCTGGGAGGCAGCCTGGGGTGAGTGCGTTTTGGTGGCCGAGGAGGGCAGAGCAGGGGACGTTCCGAGGGTGCTGGGGATAGGTTCAGACTCAGAGCGCCTTCTCCCGTTGAAGGATCGATCAGTTGATCGATTGTGGTGGGCCTGCCCACACCGTGCCTGGTGCCGCTCTGTTGTAGGTACCGGGATCCCAGGCCTGTGGGAAGTGGGGTACCCAGTGGGCCCTAGCTGAGTTCACACTCCAGATGACAAGCTCCCCGTACCCCAGCACCCCCCTTCCTGGCTCCGTCCTTGCCCACTCTGTTCCAGGTGGTGGTGGAGGGGCCTGCCGCCTCCGCAGAGCTGCACAACCTGACCTCCCGCACAGAGTACCTGGTCTCCGTGTTCCCCATCTACGAGGGTGGGGTTGGCGAGGGCCTGCGGGGCCTGGCGACCACAGGTAGGTGGGGCAGAGGCAGTGGCCAGGTTCTGGGTGGGAGGCCCCACTTGTGACCGTCCCTCGGAGCCTGGCACCCCAGGGTAGCATAGTCCTGGATCTTAACCACTCACAATTGGCACCATGCCCACTTGCTGTGTGACCCAGGCCGAGCCACTAGGCCCCTCTGACCTTTGGTGTTCTCTTCTGAACACCAGCTGTACCATTGGTATCATCACCCCAACCATAATCACAACCCATTATACTCCCTGTGCACAGTGTTCATGGAGTTCCCCACTGCTTGGCCCCCAGCACGTGGCTTAGCTTGCTGGGTTCTTGGACCCCCAGGGACTGCCATGAGCCCATCTGTAATAGCCTTGCTGAGATGAAATTTACACACCATATAATCTGACCATTTAAAGTGTACAACTCCAGTGGCTTTGGTATATTCAGAGCTGTTACCCATGGCTACAGTCCATGTTAGATCATTTTCATCCCCCCCAGAGGAACCCCTGCACCCCGAAGCACCCACCCCCCACCCCCGTCCCAGCCACCTTCTGTCTCTGGATGTCCCTGTCCCAGATGTTTCCTGCAGGTGGAGTCACACCGTGTGGCCTTTTGTGACTGGCTGTTTCCCAAGGCCCCTTTCACCCCCTGGAGGCCACATTCCTCCCATGACCTCAAGGCAGATGGCCTTAAACAAAACCTGTGGGGTGGCCTTGTGCCCCCAGAGCTGGAACCACAAACCTTGGCCCAAGGTGAAGCCTGGGAAGTGCCACTTCAAATCCTGTGCATCTGCCGGGCGGTGGCCGCGCCCACCCACTCTGGTGTGAGGGTCCTCCCATGCGTGGGTGTGATCTCTGTGTGGGCTCCCTTCCTAAAGTGCTCCCCCATGGCCCCCCAGCACCTCTGTCTCCGCCCCGGGCACTGACCTTGGCCACAGTGACTCCCAGAACCGTCCACCTCACCTGGCAGCCCTCGGCCGGGGCCACCCACTACCTGGTGCGGTGCTCACCTGCTTCCTCCAAGGGTGAGGAGGAGGAGCGAGAGGTGAGCTGGTCCGGGTGGTGACACGAGGCAGAGGAGTGGGGCAGAGCGAGTGGGGGCTGACCTGGGATGTCATGTCTCTGCAGGTGCAGGTGAGGCGGCCCGAGGTGCTGCTGGATGGCCTGGAACCAGGCAGGGACTATGAGATCTCGGTGCAGAGCCTACGAGGCCCTGAGAGCAGCGAGGCCCGGGGCATCCGTGCCAGGACCCGTGAGTGTCCCGACCCCGGCTGCCTGCCTGCGGGACGAGTGCCCCTTCTTGTTTCTCAGCCTTCCATGGCGTGGGGGACCTCAGGCCCCCTTGGTCCCAGCCCCTGCCCTACCCCGCCCCTGCCGTGGAGGCCACGTGCTGGCCTTGAGGCTCTGCTGTGCTCTGCAGCCATCCTGGCCCCCCCGAGACACCTGGGCTTCTCAGATGTGAGCCACGACACGGCGCGAGTGATCTGGGAGGGCGCCGCAAGGCCTGTGCGCCTGGTCAGGGTCACCTATGTCTCCAGCGAGGGTGGACACTCGGGGCAGGTGAGAGCAGAGCCTGCCGGGGGCCCGAGTGTCTCGAGGGACCACAGGGCCCTAAGGCAGGCCTGGGGTAGAGCCAACCATCAAATAACACATGTAAAACCACGGCCGCCACAAGGCGCACCGGGGGCACCTGGTGTGGGGGCACCTGGTGTGGGGGCACCTGGTGTGGGGG